ACCTAGGTGGATTTGATGGTGAAGATACAAGGTGCGTCGGACGGAAGAACCAGACGTCGGAGTGCCGGACGATGCACGAGGGATGGTCGTGTTTGCACATCAAGAGAAAGAAGAAGAAGAGGAGAAAGAAAACGGGAAACGAGAAGAGAAATGAGAGGGAGGGGGGGAGATAAGGAAAGAGATGGCAGAAAGGCAGAAAGGAAAGGTCGTGATGGTCAGACAGAGACGGCATACACGGTAGCAGCCACCACGTCGTATACCAACGCCACTTCATATTGATTTTCCGGGAGAGGGGTGGAGGAAAGGGGTTGGAATGGTGGAGGAGAGAGAAAGCGTGAGACAGAGAGACGGGCGAGAGAAGGTGGAGGAACGTCCAAGGTGGAAAGACGGAGAGAGAAGCTGAGAGGTAGAAAGGGATGGGGCGATCGGGTTCTTCGTCGTTAACCACCGTGGCTAACCCCTAAGGTTGAGTCCGGGGAAAATGGCGGGCCGGGCCGTGCATCGGTACAGCATAAAATACGTATGCGCTTTACCGAAGAGGCATCGCACGCGCACAAGGATAAAAACTAGAAGCAGAATCCAAATTCAAATCTGACAAAAATGTACAGATAGAGTAAATAATTTAAACTGCAACAAAACAGTAAATATGTAATGTTTAAACTTGAGAATTTACATTTTTCATTTGTCTAAAAAAATGGTATCACGCTATTATATAAGTAAATATATATATTGCCACTCTATGTTTTGTCCTTATTATAAGATAAATATGTATATGTAGACGCATGGATATATTTTATACAATTACATTTTTGAGCTTAACCTTTAAGTGAGCAAGTAGGATGACCGCAGCACCCCCTGTTTAGTTTTCATTAAAACATTGCATTGTTCTAAAAAAAGAACAATAAAAAACATCGCCTACAGATGCTCAGAAGTCATAAAGTTAATTATTTTTGCATTTTTCATTTCAAGAGTGTAATACTAATGTAAATTTTGCTATAACATAATATACTATTAAAAAACATAACTATTTTTTTATTATAAAATTAAAATATCTTTTTAGGATATTCTTAGCACTCTATTTACCAATTTGTATATCTTTTCTAGGAATAGTCACCCGGAATATTTATACACTTCAGCGAAAAATATGAATTGTAAAATATAATATTTTATATAGATTTTGTTTAACATACTCTTAAAATAATATAGTAATTTACGATCTAATTATTTGTAATTAAAAATCCGTAATAAAAAGTATTATATACAATCTTTATTTTCTAGAAATATTGTCATACAATAAAAGCTATTTGATGTATTTATTTCATTTAATATTTGTTTAATTTCTACTTAATTTTCTTTAGAAAATTATAATTAAATGCATATATTTTTCCATAACGTTATAAAATACTAATAAATCGGAAAACATCAATAATATACAATATATTATTAATAATTGTGATTTTAATTGGAGTATAAAAACATTCCAGGTAATCATTTGCATAAAAAGGTGACTATTCCCAGGTTAAATTTATCTCTATCTATTTATAAATAAAAAATTGCGGATTAAATTAGATGAAACGCATTGTATCAGAAATTACAGAGTAACGTATTTAATTCTTTATCTTAAATGTATGTGTAAAAACTTAATTATATAATTTTTTTTTTGGACAAAAATGTTTGCTCATCTTTCAAATCAATGAAATAATGTGTTTTATATTGATCGATGTCGAAACGAAAAAAGAAAAATTATGATATACTCCTATTACTTTATCACTTCAATTTATCTCTGTCTTCCAATCCGTATGTGTATGTCAATTACGTGAATGAATCTAGTAATGAAAGCCAATGAATGAAGATTGAACAAAAAAGAAACCATCTTTCATATGATCATTTTTTAAATATATTCAAAAAGCAAATTAATGCCTTCGTGCATTAGAAAAAATGTAAAATTTTCTTAAACCTTCGTCTTTATCGTCGCTTGCATCCATTAATTTGTACACAATAGAAGCGTCACATTATTACAAATTCTAGCAACGGAAACGTTATATGCTTCGGTATCCCTTGTTGCGTTTGCATATGTAACTCTAATCTGAAGACACTACAACACGTATTAATCTGGTCATTCATAATAGTTAGAAGCTACTTTGTCCTGACATAATGGAGAGCTTGTTAACCAATTCCACGGTCATACATGCGTGTCTGTACGGATCGTTATCAAAATTAAATGATGATCTCATTCTCGTATGTGAGACATAATCATCTTTCTTATGAGAATGATTCAACAGCTCAGTTCTCGCCTTTCCAGAATGATTAAAACCACGCGATAACGTTTATAATTATAAATACTTAGATATTATTAGATAGTACATACTATCTAACATGAAAATCACCCTTCATTTCATTACACTAATAATTACTATCATAATTAGTCCTTTACGTTAAATAAAAGAAAAAAGTATATCCATGTATGTATATATGATATATAGATATTATATATAGAGATATTATATATACTTGTAGTGTCTCTCAGTTTTTGAACATTCATAAATATTTATATTTATACACAGAGAAAAAATTTACCAAATCTTAGAGATATGTTTTTAAACTCATGTCATGTACCGCGTCAGTACTAACTAAATATTTACTTATAGTAAATAGATATTTATTCAATAAAAAAAAATAGTAAAATCAAATTAATATTTCTCGTATAAATATAATATATATTTATATTGAATAAATATTTAATTAATACTATTTAAACAAATATTTATTAAAATTCAATATTTTTTTCAATGCATGTGTAGACTTGTATGTTTATATGTATGGAGATATATTTTTTGCTCTTTCTTAATATATATAGCGAGCGTATCTTTATACATATATACATACATACATGTATAATATATGTATATATAGTATATATACAAGTGTGCTACAATTCATGGCTCAAATTATAGTAAGAAAGTTCTCGAAAAATTAAGTAAGTTTTTTGTTAAATTTTCGTTTTTAGCGATAGTTTTTGAAATAATAAAGGTTTAAACAATTATAAACTATGTTTAAATAGAGTTGTTTGTGAATATTAGTGAGCGCGCTAAAGTACGAGCTTACTATCACTCATTAATACTATCGCACGTGCAACTCATGGATAAATAACATCTAAATGTAATCTGTAATTGACCACATTTAAGCACTTATATAATTTCAAAAATCACTGCTTAAAATAAAAATTTACAAATAACTTTCTTATTTTATTTTTCTTACTATAGTGTTTTGAGTTGTAAATTTTGGGATACCCTATATGTGTGTGTGCGTGTGTGTTTAGGCTTAAAATAAGAGGTCAAATGTAAAATAAAAACTCAATAATTTAATTTCGTGTCAAAGAATTAAGAAAAAGTCATGTACCGCGACGCAAAAAAAAATAAGACATCTGTTCTACCAGAGAAAAGTTAAAATGACTCGAGCATGAACATAGATCCCATGTCTAAACTTTCAAACTTTCTGTAATTAAAGGATTGTACAGCTGTAACCAAGCAAACTGGATGCAGCATCCGTAGTAAAAATCGACGCTGAAGATACCGTCTCATTATAGCTGTATTTTATATTGCGTGCTTGAAAGTGTTAAGAAGATACATCTCGCAACAACACGTAATTAATATAGATTAACAATGCAATTGCGCAGCGTATCACTAATCTCACGTGACATTAAATATTTAAATTTGTCCAAGTTTAAACCACTCCTTCGTAAGTATCGATCGACCGAGAAAACCAGATTGAAGCTTGCGCACGTGTAAAGAACATTTTTACACGTAGTGACGAAATAATTTACGGTAACCGTACGCTGTTCAGAAATAATCTCTCGGACAATTACAACAAAGTCGCAATTAGTTTTCCAGCATACAGCACGAATATTGGAAAAAAAAAAAAAAAAAAAGGGGG